GCAGCCCCGGCCCAGAGCACCGCTCCAGCCTTGCATCCCTCCTATTGAATCTCAACACCGCGGCGGTCTCTAGTATTAGTGCTACAATCAATGGCACTGCCAGACTGGTTGATAATGGTTCGGAAGAGGAGAAGTTCTACCGCGAGGCGCACCTGGAAAACAACACATTTGACGAAGGCCAGAGCTTCAACCCAAGTGTTCAGGCTGAGGATGGTGGCAGGGGATGCTTTGTAGCCGGTGAGGAAGTACGAGTCATCGTGGTCAAGATCAAGGACGTGAGAATCAGTGATTGGAAGGGTGCAGTGAGGGATTACGTGCTGACAGAGGAGACCGCTGCTCCCCAGCTCAATGGTGTACGGTAGGATAATCTGGAATTCAAGTAACAATACCATTGATATCTAGGCCACTTATCAAAGACTTGACGACCTCATGTGAGACAATGCTGGCGGGCGAATCTGGGATGAAGCCTTCAAGAGGCCTCCATTATCAAAATCTTGACGCTCATGTGCTTGCTTCAAGACTTTTACGCGGTTATTGCTATGCCTCGTAAACCCACATGCTATGTGACTGGCTGCGAAGGAGACAAGGATCCCAAAAGAAGCATCCATGATGATGCCCAATGGACGGGCAGTGATCACCATTTAGACTCGAGTTAGACTCATGGATTGACATGAGGCTTACACAGCACACTGGGTAGAAGTGGGCTGGGCACGATTCGACGCCCCAACCGGTAAGTTGTATTCCTGGCCATTAAGCATCTTTTAGTGTAGGATTCTAGTATTTGGAGTCCTTCTGAGAGGCCGGCATGGGGCATCTCAAGGCTACTCGTCAGTTCATAGCAGCGATGAGAGTTTGCGCAGTGTGTTGCATGATCGTCGAAATACTACATTTACGTTAGTATTAGTAGTGTGGCAGCTGGTTGACGCATCATTTGATGATACCACAACAGCAAGTACTCTACTGGATAACGCAAAGCATTTCCTCAGGCGTCTGGGCAGAAAAGACAAGGTTGCAATAGAGAAAAAAATAGGCAGCGTTGGGCATCGGGTGAACTGAGGGGGTCTAGGCATGTTGAACCACCAACCTTGCAGCGCGTAGGCTAGCTGCAGCGGCAGGCAGAGTGAAACATTCAGGGATCATGGCCTCTCGGGAGTTTCTGTAGCGGGTTTGAAAGCTCGGCACATTTTGTTTTGAGCCAAGTGGGATCTCTTTAAGCATAGCGTGCGCCGGTGTGCCAGTCAGGACCAGGTTTAGGGGCGACACGGATAAAGGGCGAAATGGAGGCTGATCGGAAGTTTTGGGAGGGTTGCAGAGGTTTAGAGTGCATATTTAGACTCGACCAGAGCCACCGCCGGTTGGCACCGAGGAAAGCCCGAGGGTTTTTGACTCGGGTCCGCAGAGTCCGATTAAGGGATCACATCGGCAGATAACCGACCGACCGACCGCGGGGTTAGTCAAATCCCGCGGGGTGTGGTAGTTCATGCCAGCATCGAAGTGTGTGAATGGAAGAGTGCTAGAGGACTAAGAGTGGGATGCTTCAAACATTTTGCGGTAAGTTAATGCATATAAATCCAAGTGACGTGAGTTCATTACAGTAGGTAAGTATTCTCTATGGGTATAATCCAGCCCATTCTTCTATACAGAGTAGATAGAATCGATTAGGTCAAGCCCGATCACAAAGGCTTCCTCGCCGTGACAAATGATCTGTATAGTAAGAGTCAGTCAGCTGTTTCCCAGTGAAATCACATTCGTATCCCGAGAAACCTACACTTTGCCATACGCCTCGTTTGCGGTATCGCGCGACTCCTTGTGGACTCTCTTCAGGAGACTCCGGGTATCGTTCTCATCCCAACCACCCCTGCCAAAGACTGCCAACGAGTAATTCTCCAAGCCTGATGTGGTGGCAAGTTAGTTGAGGAAACTTGAACTTGTTAAGAGTACGGACTCTGAACATACCATATTCCAGCATCTGAGCAAATTGTGCTCCTTTTCTGACCATCTTTTCATCATGTCCCACAGCCTGTATGGGAACCAGATCCGACCAACGCGCCACCTTCTCAAAACCAACTTCAGAAAACATGGCGGGAATCTTTGGCGTCGGGTCAAAGTCCACGCCTGCAATCTTGGCCATTTCCGAGAACCGCACCTCGAACTCGCGGCATGCCGTCATCCCGCCGTGATTCTCCTCTTCAGCCGTGGACGCAATGGGCTCGTCTCCGCTGCTGTCAATGAGGTCGAAGTACCTCGTCCTCACTTCGGCGAACTCAATCTGTCCACCGGGCTTGAGATGTTCGTACGCTTGCCGGAAAAGCGCCTTCCAGTCCGAGACGCCCCCGCCGACGAGGTTCCTCATGTGCACAAAGTCCAAGCTGTCCTTCTCACGAGCCCAGTCATGGTTTGCATCTTCTACTTCAAAGGCGACGTTGGCCGGTACAGTCGTGGGTAAGAGCGCGGCGGAGATGTCGATTCCCATGATCTTGGCCAGAGGGTACTGCTCGCCCATCTCAACGGCCCAATTGCCGGTCCCAGAACCAATGTCAAGAATGTTGAGAGGTCTGTCCTTGGGGAGCTTCGCCGCCGTCAGACCACCTTCTAGACATAGCTTGAATAGTTGATGCTGAATTTCTAGACGGGCTCGCTCGGATTCGTCATTCGGCATTAGTAATACACCGGAACCGTGGTATGTGTGACCATAAGCCCGGATGGGCGGGAGCTCGTCAACAGAGACGGAGCTGAAATCAGACCCGGCATCTGAGTCGTCTTCGTCGCTGTCGTGGGCATCTTGGGTATTATCTGTTCGAGATGGCCTCCTCCGTTCTTTGTGGTCCGTCCGGTTTCTTGTGGCACCGGCACCTTCGCCCCTGCGTCGATGGCCATCGCCGATGCCGGGGTCGCCAACAGCGTCGACGTCCTCACCCATTTCGCCGAGCTTTAGAAAAGACTCCGCCAAAAAGCCGTCACCAGGATTTTCTTTCAATTCTAGCTGGCGCCAATGTCGTATCTTTATCGCGTCTCTACGTTTGCAAAGAAACTTTAGTGTTCCGTCACTCTCTTAGAGCGACTCACTCCACGGATGTTGTCTTCGCTCGCCAGATTTCCCAAATGGGGACTCAATCGTGGGCCCGGCCGGCTCGGGTGTAATATAGCCACACGTGGGATGGCTAATGAAATTTCCCCAAAGGAGAATAGGAGGGAACGCAAGAGATGATAGATGAAATACCCAGGCCAATATCAGCGCGGGGAAGGTGGGTTACGCACAGAGTATCAATATGGATACATGAAGTGGTTTTTCCTGTCGAGGGTTGGCGGATGTCTTTGTATTCACCCTCTTGACAACCGGTGAGGTAGTCGATGAAGGATACTAGGAAGCGAAAGACAAGGGGAGCCCGTTGGCTTCTTGAATGTTGACAAAGGATGATGGCAGAACAAAGGGGACGAGGACTACGCAATGCACAAGGCCAGACGGGAAAGGCTAATTTGAAAGGGGGGAGGGAGGACCTCATGAGGGAAATGGTCATCTACCGCGGGATACTTCAGAGCTTGACTTGGACGGGATTCGATGGATGGAACCTCCACCTGTAGTGCATCATTTTTCTCTTTCTCACTCTCTGTCCTCCCCTTGCTCCTCTGCCAGGACCTAACGCCATCGAATCACACTTGGCTTCTGATCGGAGCACTTGTCCGCAAGGAGCCACTGGCTAGAGAGGAGACAGCATGGGAAGTGCGGGAGGCGGTCGACGGCGGGCCATGGAGCATGGGATAGCATGTGCCGCCCAGGAATTGGTGAAATCCATGGAGAATTTGAAAACGTGAGAGAGGAAAAAAACATAAAAAAATTCAAGCCGTTGAAAAATCCCCTCCCTCTCCCCCCGACAAAAGATGTGCATGCAGGCATGCATGCATGCAGAGAGGGACCAAGAAAACAACGGGGCGGCTGGGCTGTGGCTGGCAAGTTGCATTTACTCTTTGCGGCAAGCCATCTCAACTTCTCAAATCGTAACCTGCCCTACCCTGTGCTTGTCCACACGGGCAGGGCCTGAGCTTGCCTGCAGTTGTACGGATAGTAGTGCTAGGATCAGAGAATGAGACAGGGTACTCATGGCACTCGAGCTTGAAGCACGGGTATGATTTTCAGGGCAACACTTGTGAAAAACACTTGCCAAAGAGAAACGCAAATCGGGTCAAATCCCGGTACACTCTCCCTACATTACAAACTGGGCTTACGCCAGCAATGTCTCTTTAGGGTATCTAAAACTTCATCTTCTCTCGAGCTCCCGTATCATACGCGCAAGGGCGTCAGTTTGGCGACTCAGTATCCTTATCCGCGCAAGGGATCCTGAGTCGGATACTCACCTTGTGCGTGAGGTAATTCCCACCTCACCTGTCTTTCTTGTTCTTTTATTCTGCAGAAGGAATTCTAAAAGCCTCTCTGCCATTTCACGCCGTCCGGTATACCAGGATGCGGCACGCCTCCGAACTACCTTGTTCGCATGTCCCAGGGTCAACCGGAGCCAAGCTCAACCCGGCATTCTCTTCACGACCTCGGTCACTGATGTCTTACCTTGGGAGTACCTTAAGCACTGCACAGTACACTATCGGTACTCTGAAATAACTGCCCAGTCAAAGCACGTCTCAACGCGTTCTCCCAAGGATCGGGATGCCACCCCAAATGTGAAGGTCTAGAATGGCCCTGGCGGGATACAACGCTGGCCGGTAGGATGCTTCATAAGGGCGCTTGCTCGCTCCTTTCCACAAAGACTCGTTTGCCAACGCGGTAGACTTTGTGGGCGATAGGACTCGAGAGCGGTGAACGGTGAACGGTCCTGGGACTGATTCCTCGCCTGCCCTCGAGTTCCACCGAAGAGATCGTGGGTTCCCTGGGCTGTCTTAGGTTCTGCAGGAAGCCCGGTCCGAGCCGGCAGACCAACCGCGAAACGAGAGACCATTGTGATGACCGTTGCTTTGTAACTTGTCAACTATCCTCCAGCGGAAGTCTCCCGATGGCAAGAGGTCCTGACGACCCGTATCCGTATGAACTGCTCGCATCTTCACGCTGCCCACCAAAGCCACGAGGGAGAACAAGGCAGGGGGGCATGGGGCCGTGGTCGACTTGCCTTCCTTGGGAGCTCCAACCGCCCAGGGTGCCACGCTGTGTTTGCCTGTCAAATGGAGCTAACGGCGTGGCAATCATGTACGCTAGCCTCTGCGGATACAGCAGAAGCTAGCCCGCTGCTCCATTGTCTGTGGTGGTTTAGCTGAAGTGACGCTGTTCTTCCCTTCCCTTCCTTCCAGAAGCCCAGCCCAGCTCGGCACATGGATAATGGAATGTGGCAGTTGGCGAAATGAAAAATGGGTTCATCAATGCGGTGAGGCAACGCAAACCAATAGCTCGACGACTATCAAGCATCATGATCCGGATTCTCTCTGGTAATCAATTTATCAGCTCCTACTGACGTACTTGACGTCAACGGCAATGTTTTGATGAGATGGTCCTCTTAGAAGAACCCCGTCACTTGGAATATGTCGTAGTTAATGGTTTTTAGAAATTTAATTCCCTCAAAATGAAATACCTACAGAACTTGGCATTTGGTGTTTGGTAAATGTTCTGTCGATTCTTTTATTGGGCCACCATCAACGCTGCCCACAAAGACAATGTTTCCCACCCCACCGGTCGTTGGCTTTTCATTTATACAGGTTAAGAGGACCTTGCAGAGTGCAGCTTGGGAACGAACGGACACCGGGCTTTAACCGGCATCGGAGATGCCGGTTGCTGCTGCAGCGTCCCCTGTGTTGTGTTGCCTCTGAGAGAGGAGAGGAGAGGAGAGGGGTAGCGCCGCAGCGGCGCGACCAACAAACTTGAGCCTCTCTCTTGACTCACGTCTCCAACTTGTCACGGGCGGCGAACTTGACCGACATAAGGCCTCAACTCAGCTATCGCGAGCCAATGAAAGGGATATGACCGCTCGCAGCAGCCAACAATTCGTCCGCCAGCTCCATCACATCATTTGCATGTACGGCCTAGTTGAAAGGTACCTCGACGCGCCGCTTAGAGGCAATGGGTCTCAACGTAAGCTTCGAGCGCTCCCCTTCCGGGATTGGATCAGTGGTTCGCTCGCTCGTAACCGTTATGCACCAGCGCACCAAGTTGTCACAAAAGGCGCATCCCATACCACCAATCAACCTCGCCTCCCTGCTATCCTTCGCCCTGCACAGCGAAAGCCTTTCTCGAACATGATTTCACCAGCCAATATCAGATGGCTAAATAGCCGCGGCTGGCGCTGCTCCATACGTATATCAATATGTCGGCATTTGAAGAGGGTATCTAGATAGGGTCCCTTTGAACAACGCCGGGCAAGGTAGGTGAGGATGCGCAGCCAAGGCAAGGGAAGTGGAGATGTGACGGCAACCCCAGTCCATCTCGTGAGACGGCAAGGGCTTCGACGAGCTCCATAGTCGCGTGGCTTGACGTCTTTCCCAGGCTGATCTGATATGGGATGAAATATCTTAAAAAGTCCAAACAAGTAGGTAGTAGAAAAACGCGCTCCGCCAAACTCCCGACCACTAGACCGTTTCGATGTACCGTTTAACTTCCCTGTGTAGATACTTCGTTAGCCATGTTCATCTTCATCGCCATCAGATGTTACTCCGAGGGTTGTCACATACCAGTCTGTCACGGCCTCGTCCCAGACCCGAATTTCGTGATCTCTGGTTCCGCCAAAGTGATCGACAAAGTCATCACCGAACACTTCTCTTGCAATGCTCTCCTTTCGCATGAATCGATCATTTGCTTCACGCAGACTCTTTGCAAGCCGCACGCCCTTGTCAGCTTTACCGCCAACATCCTCGCCCTTGCCCAAAGGCGGGACGGGGATCTCCAGCTTCTTCTCCACGCCTCGCCATCCGAGGGCGAGAATTGCTGCCAGAACGAAGAAAGGGTTGGTGTCTGCGCCCGGAACACGAACTTCGAATCGCGTTGCGCCAGGCTTCGATGTTGGTGGGGCGATGAGGCGAATTGATGCTGCTCTGTGCTCCAAGCCCCATGATACTGTCACTGGCGCCCAAAAGTTCTCGACAAGGCGTTTGTAGGAGTTGACTGTGGGTGCCAGCATGGTCATGACATCTGGAAGACCCTCTAGCAAGCCGGCCAGGAAATGCCGGCCCAGATCGGAGAGATTAGCGACGTCGGGGTATGGCGCATTCTCATCCTTCGTCTCCCGAGCGAAAAGGTTCTTGCCATCCTTATCGACAATGGAAACGTGCATGTGTCCGCTGTTTCCAGGCAAGCCCTGCTTTGGCTTCGCCATGAAGCACGGCGTAATGCCGTATTTTGTTGCGACCGACTTGACAACGTACCTGTGAGAACCACGGTCAGTGAGATGCAAGCCTAAACGAACCGGCCAACTCACTTGAACAAGCTGGCTCTGTCAGCCATCTGTGCGATTTCTCCAAACTCAAGCGCGGCCTCAAAGACACCAGGGCCACTCTCCGTATGCCAACCCTCGATATCACATTTGAACTGAGAACAAGTCTCGAAAATGTCATAGAAGTAGTCCTTGTTGTGCACCGTCCGGGTCAAACTGTAGCCAAACATGCCCTCTGTTAAGGACGGCAAAGCTTGCGGGGGGTTCTCTTGCAAGTATCCGGCCGTTGAGCTCGAGGTTTCGGCGGTGCGCGTAGGCGCCTTGAATTGGTAGAACTCGTATTCGGCTGAGTGGGATCACGCGATTAGCTTGCCTTTTCTCCAAAAGGAGAGCAACGCCGGAGCGTGTTTGCAGACTGACCTCCAGCCATGGCACCGTAGCCCTTGGCTTGCAACTTGGCCAGAGCATTCTTTAGCAGACCACGAGGGCACGCGCAAATGGGCTCTTGCGTATCCGGATCGAAGAAGCTGACGAGGAAGAAGGGCACATTATCCTCCCAGGGGATGCGGCGGAAGCTAGAGAGATCAGGGATGGCAATCAGATCGTGGTAGCCGTTCTCGGCGTTGCTGATCTTGAGCTCCTTGATGTATGTCATATCGTGCATATCCCAACCAAAGATGACAGAACAGAAGCCAAAGCCTGATTTGGCGACGGACAGGAACTTGTTCTTGGACACCAACTTTCCTCGGAGCATGCCGTCGACATCGATACCGGCAAGCTTGACCTTGTTGTCATTCTTGAGAAGCTCGGGTAGCGACTCGATGGTCACGGCTTCGTTGGACGACGCCATTGTGGATTAAGATAAGATGGTAAGAATGCGCGAATGCAATGAAGCTACTAATTGACTTTGGATGGCGATGGATGGGACGAAAGCTCGCGGCTTGGAGTTGGGGTTGGAGTTGGAGGTGTGGTAGCAGCAAAGTCTGTCGTGGCAGAAGGACGAGAGGAAAGAAGTGTTTGCTGCTTTCTACGTGCGTGCGAACTGATAAATGAGGATGTCTAGAAGTAGGCCGTGGCAGAGGACGGGAGAGAGGAAAAGAAAATGTTCAGCAGAGCGCGCAAGAGACGCGAGGAACAGACCGAGGCGGAACAAAGTCGTGGGTCCTGAGCAAGCCGAGAGACTGGAGACGGATGGACTTGAGGGACTTGAGGTCGGGATCTTGAGGGAACGCGGAAAGAGACGTGTAGGGCCAGCGGTACGGAGCAATTATCGTATCTTTGGAGAGGTATGTTATCCGTAGGTCGGAACGTAAGGTAGGTAGGGACTTGCGGAGTGAGCGAGCATTGAGCAGCAGCAAGAGTCGCAAGAGCAAGGAAGAGAGCGCCGCTGCATACTGCCCGCGCACCCCCAGATGTTTGCTCCAAAGTATCTTTCCATAGAACTGTAGGCGAGCATATACATGGGCTAGCTCCAAGGTTCCCTCGTCTGCGGCAACTGGTGTGGATTGTCCCGCCGATAAGGGAGCGCGCGGCCAATGGAATGATGCGATTTGGGGATTTGGGTGAGCTGGGGAAGCCGAGTGACGACTGACAACCTGGAAATAACCTTGCCCTCCATTGCCTTGCGCTTGCCCTTGATTGCGGTTTACGGTTTACCTAACGCTTCCGACTGAGCAATGACATAGGCCCGGAGCGCCAATCTGTTTACAACCTACCTTAAGCACGTTGAGATTTGAGTGTGGAAGGTATCGAGCCGCGTGAGCTGCTTCCCATCCTGTTCCATGTATCATGTTCCTTGGCAATCGACGTCTGCTTCCCGGGCACTTACCTCTCGGTTCGACGCGGGGATACCATTAGCAGGTGAGCGGCACCCAGCGGCACAGAGCGAGGAAGGAGGGGGAGGGACGCTGACTTTCTCGGTGCGTCATTGCGGCAGTCACGCAGGCAACCTGGAAGACCAGGCTGAGGTGGCTAGACCGCGGTACGTTCCCAAGGGACGCACTGTCCGGGCCACGACTCCTCCCCACCTCAGCTCAGTAATGAGTCTTCTCGTTCAGTCTCCTCAACCTCAGGCACAGGCACTTCTTCCCGTGCCTCCCTCGGCCAGAATGCGCAGGATCCCATGGGCGCCTTCCATCTGGTAGATGCGTGTCTTAGGTAAGTCAAAGCCTGGATGGGCAGGACACAGGAAGGAGCCCAGGTGGTCTGGGATGCTATTGCTGGATTGTGACAAAAATAATGGAATTGTCTCAACCGCCATTGGGGCCACTTGCTGTTGCAGCTGGCGACAACTTGGTAGTCATCACTGTGTGAGTATGAGAGATTTTTTGTGAAGACCAATATCTTCTCCATGCTTCCTCGCACGCTGTCTCCATCTCTGTCCACCTGTCTTCCTCCCTTACAACTTGCAAACTGCTCTCAGTCCCTCTCCAGTCAACAACATCACCACCATCGCTACTTCATCGTGAGCTTCTTCACTGTCGCCAACCCATCAACGCCAATTTTACCCCACGCCAACCGTTGCCCATCCCGCATGCTACCGCGCTGTGTTGCTTGATTGACCTGAGACCGCGGCACCCGGCTGCTCGATGCCAAAAGGAACATCCCCGAACCCAGATAGATCTCTTGGCCCCATGACGGCCAGATCCTCCGCGCTTGACTTGCCGACAGCGGGGAGTTCTGAATTGGAGGGGTTCACGATGGGGATTCAACTTCATCGGTCAATGACCCCTCTGCCGCCTCCACAGCCCACTACTTTCGCTTCTACCCACCCTTGTCATGTTCTATTGTCCGCTGATACCGCACACAGCTTTCTTTGCGCAACTTTCTTTGTCGCCAGCGCGGCAAATATCCTCTTTGATCCT